TGCCCGGGGAGGGGAATGGGTGCTCCGGAGGGGTAATGACTGGAACAAAGGGCGGAATGACAACTCATGGGGCCCCCGGCAATAGGGGATCATGGGGCCCCTGTGTCCTTGCCAAAACTCAAAAAAGCCTATGAAAAAGGCACCAGGGGCCCCCTACTGACCCCGGGGCCCTCAGGCAGTGCCTGAGTTTCCAAATGGTCAGTCCGCCCGACTGGAACTGATCCCCTGTATGGCTCTCCCTGCAGCAGCTGACAGCCAGTGGGAGGGGGAGGAGAAGAAGCCAGCTACAGCTGCTGCAGAGAGAGCCATACAGGGGATCGGTTCCAGTAATTGCCCCCCAGCCGTGCCAATCACCCTCCCTGCCCACATCCGATTCACCCAGCTGCCTGGGCCCCCTGCTGAGCCCCATACAGGAGGCCTGGTGGTACCCCCTTATTCACATCCGCTCCAGCCGGCATAAAACTCCCCTCCATACACAGGGCACCGATTGGCAATGGTTGGATGGCAATGGTTGGCAAGATGGCCGCCGCTTTCAAAATCTCGAGGCCGTTCCCGCGAGAGTTGGCGCCGTGATACCGTTCCCAGAGTGCTTTGCGAGCCCTCTTCCTGCGCGGCCTGAGGTGAGTGAGACATGGCGGCTGAGGGCTCCTTCCGATCGCGGCGTCTAATCCGTCCGATATCTCCGCCATCGCTGGCCGCCGTGTGCCGGCACCGTGCTGGGGGATGAGGGCGCAGGGTGAGCATGGGAGGAGGGATGGTATGGGTGCGGGGGAGAAGCTATAGGGCAGTCCAGGGATTAGGCCTGTAGTCCGGAGGGCTCAGTGTAATGGAGTGCGGTGTCTGGGCCTGTTACCATAGAGAGAGTACGAGGGGGGCATGCTGTTCTGTGTGTATGGAGGGGTGTCACCAGCACTGGGGGCCCATCATAGCTCTGTATGGGGGGGGGGGGGGTCTTTCTCGTAGGTCTCTATGGGGCCCCCCTCTCGTCTGTCTGTTTGGGCCATATAGATGTTGTCCAGCAGAGCTCATTGAAGTGTTAGCTGCCACCATTTTTCCATTTTAATTTCATACAGAGCTACGGGAGAGAGGGCCCCCCCCATAGAGAGCTACGGGAGAGGGTCCCCCCCCCCATAGAGAGCTACGGGAGAGGGTCCCCCCCCCCCCATAGAGAGCTACGGGAGAGGGTCCCCCCCCATAGAGAGCTACGGGAGAGGGGTCCCCCCCCCCATAGAGAGCTACGGGAGAGGGTCCCCCCCCCATAGAGAGCTACGGGAGAGGGTCCCCCCCCCCCATAGAGAGCTACGGGAGAGGGTCCCCCCCCCATAGAGAGCTACGGGAGAGGGTCCCCCCCCCCCATAGAGAGCTACGGGAGAGGGTCCCCCCCCATAGAGAGCTACGGGAGAGGGTCCCCCCCCCATAGAGAGCTACGGGAGAGGGTCCCCCCCCATAGAGAGCTACGGGAGAGGGTCCCCCCCCCATAGAGAGCTACGGGAGAGGGTCCCCCCCCCCATAGAGAGCTACGGGAGAGGGTCCCCCCCCATAGAGAGCTACGGGAGAGGGTCCCCCCCCATAGAGAGCTACGGGAGAGGGTCCCCCCCCCCATAGAGAGCTACGGGAGAGGGGGTCCCCCCCCCCCATAGAGAGCTACGGGAGAGGGTCCCCCCCCCATAGAGAGCTACGGGAGAGGGTCCCCCCCCCATAGAGAGCTACGGGAGAGGGTCCCCCCCCCCATAGAGAGCTACGGGAGAGGGTCCCCCCCCCCCCATAGAGAGCTACGGGAGAGGGTCCCCCCCCCCATAGAGAGCTACGGGAGAGGGTCCCCCCCCCATAGAGAGCTACGGGAGAGGGTCCCCCCCCCCATAGAGAGCTACGGGAGAGGGTCCCCCCCCATAGAGAGCTACGGGAGAGGGTCCCCCCCCCATAGAGAGCTACGGGAGAGGGCCCCCCCCCATAGAGAGCTACGGGAGAGGGTCCCCCCCATAGAGAGGGAGAGGGCCCCCCCCATAGAGAGGGAGAGGGGGTCCCCCCCATAGAGAGCTACGGGAGAGGGTCCCCCCCCCCATAGAGAGCTACGGGAGAGGGCCCCCCCCCCATAGAGAGCTACGGGAGAGGGCCCCCCCCCCATAGAGAGCTACGGGAGAGGGTCCCCCCCCCCATAGAGAGCTACGGGAGAGGGTCCCCCCCCATAGAGAGCTACGGGAGAGGGTCCCCCCCCATAGAGAGCTACGGGAGAGGGTCCCCCCCCATAGAGAGCTACGGGAGAGGGTCCCCCCCCATAGAGAGCTACGGGAGAGGGTCCCCCCCCATAGAGAGCTACGGGAGAGGGTCCCCCCCCATAGAGAGCTACGGGAGAGGGTCCCCCCCCATAGAGAGCTACGGGAGAGGGTCCCCCCCCATAGAGAGCTACGGGAGAGGGTCCCCCCCCCCATAGAGAGCTACGGGAGAGGGTCCCCCCCCATAGAGAGCTACGGGAGAGGGTCCCCCCCCCCCCCCCATAGAGAGCTACGGGAGAGGGTCCCCCCCCATAGAGAGCTACGGGAGAGGGTCCCCCCCCATAGAGAGCTACGGGAGAGGGTCCCCCCCCATAGAGAGCTACGGGAGAGGGTCCCCCCCCATAGAGAGCTACGGGAGAGGGTCCCCCCCCATAGAGAGCTACGGGAGAGGGTCCCCCCCCATAGAGAGCTACGGGAGAGGGTCCCCCCCCATAGAGAGCTACGGGAGAGGGTCCCCCCCCCCCATAGAGAGCTACGGGAGAGGGTCCCCCCCCATAGAGAGCTACGGGAGAGGGTCCCCCCCCATAGAGAGCTACGGGAGAGGGTCCCCCCCCATAGAGAGCTACGGGAGAGGGTCCCCCCCCATAGAGAGCTACGGGAGAGGGTCCCCCCCCATAGAGAGCTACGGGAGAGGGTCCCCCCCCATAGAGAGCTACGGGAGAGGGTCCCCCCCCATAGAGAGCTACGGGAGAGGGTCCCCCCCCCATAGAGAGCTACGGGAGAGGGTCCCCCCCCCCCATACGGGAGAGGGTCCCCCCCCATAGAGAGCTACGGGAGAGGGTCCCCCCCCCCATAGAGAGCTACGGGAGAGGGTCCCCCCCCATAGAGAGCTACGGGAGAGGGTCCCCCCCCCCCCATAGAGAGCTACGGGAGAGGGTCCCCCCCCCCCCCATAGAGAGCTACGGGAGAGGGTCCCCCCCCCCCCATAGAGAGCTACGGGAGAGGGTCCCCCCCCCCCCATAGAGAGCTACGGGAGAGGGTCCCCCCCCCCCATAGAGAGCTACGGGAGAGGGTCCCCCCCCCCATAGAGAGCTACGGGAGAGGGTCCCCCCCCCCCATAGAGAGCTACGGGAGAGGGTCCCCCCCCCCCCCCATAGAGAGCTACGGGAGAGGGTCCCCCCCCCCCCCATAGAGAGCTACGGGAGAGGGTCCCCCCCCCCCATAGAGAGCTACGGGAGAGGGTCCCCCCCCCCCATAGAGAGCTACGGGAGAGGGTCCCCCCCCCCCATAGAGAGCTACGGGAGAGGGTCCCCCCCCCCCATAGAGAGCTACGGGAGAGGGTCCCCCCCCCCCCATAGAGAGCTACGGGAGAGGGTCCCCCCCCCCCATAGAGAGCTACGGGAGAGGGTCCCCCCCCATAGAGAGCTACGGGAGAGGGTCCCCCCCCATAGAGAGCTACGGGAGAGGGTCCCCCCCCCATAGAGAGAGCTACGGGAGAGGGTCCCCCCCCCCCCATAGAGAGCTACGGGAGAGGGTCCCCCCCCCCCATAGAGAGCTACGGGAGAGGGTCCCCCCCCCCATAGAGAGCTACGGGAGAGGGTCCCCCCCCCCCATAGAGAGCTACGGGAGAGGGTCCCCCCCCCCAGAGCTACGGGAGAGGGTCCCCCCCCCATAGAGAGCTACGGGAGAGGGGCCCCCCCCCATAGAGAGCTACGGGAGGGGCCCCCCCCCATAGAGAGCTACGGGAGGGGGAGAGAGCTACGGGAGGGGGTCCCCCCCCCATAGAGAGCTACGGGAGGGGGTCCCCCCCCCATAGAGAGCTACGGGAGGGGTCCCCCCCCCATAGAGAGCTACGGGAGAGGGTCCCCCCCCATAGAGAGCTACGGGAGAGGGTCCC